TTGGGCTCGCCCTTCCTAGCTGATCCGGTAGCGCGCTCGAAATGACGTATAGATTCTGGCATTGGCGAGCGAATCGCCGGCGCAAGCGTGATCCGCCGCAAGAAACAAGCCGAAATCCGACTCCGTCCAATCCTCCGTCAGACGCCAACACGGACCCTAGTCCGTTCGAGAGTCCCCCGATCCCCTCTTTTCCAGACGGAGTGAAGGTCCTGCATGACTGCCCCGACGCCGCAGTCGACATCTGCTTTGTCCACGGTTTGACCGGGAACCGGGAGAGTACCTGGACCGCTCGTGGGCAGTCCGCGCCCTGGCCGAAGACCCTCCTCCCGTCGAAGCTCAGTGGAGCCCGCATACTCACGTACGGCTACGACGCATATATCGTGCGAAAGGCGGTTGCAGGATCAAACCGGCTGATTGACCACGCTACGAACCTTCTGAACGACTTGACGACAGACAGAGTCTGCTGCAATGCGTCCTCTCGTCCCATCATATTCGTCGTCCACAGCCTGGGTGGCCTTGTCTGCAAACAGGCTGTTCTGCTCTCGCGGAATAATCCAGAGACCCATCTTCGGGGTATATTCGACTGCACCATAGGCATCGCCTTCATAGGCACTCCTCATAGAGGGGCCTGGATGGCCGACTGGGGCAAGATCTCGGCTTCGGCTCTTGGCCTTGTGAAGTCAGTCAACAAGTCGCTATTCGAGATCTTGCAGACAGACAACCAGGCCCTCGAGCTCATTCAAGCCAACTTCTGGTCAATGATACGGGAACGGCAGAAAGCTGGCCAACCCCCAGAGGTCACATGCTTCGTTGAGGAACTGCCTTTGCCTAGGGTCGGGAGAGTCGTCTCGAAGGAATCCGCGACTCTTGAGGGCTACAATTCCATTACCATCCACGCCAACCACAGGGACATGGTCAGGTTTGCCTCTGCAGAGGAGAACGGATTCAAGAGGCTGCTGGGAGAGCTGGTCCGATGGGAACGGCAAGTCGGTAAGGACAACTAGCAGTTTTTGCGAGAATCATACACTGGGCTAAATCTGCTTTTAAGGGCAAACCCTATCCCAAACTGCGCAAGATTGCCCCAAATCGCTAGCCTTTCCGCGAATGCATAATCGCTCCTATGACATTGGCAGCGCCGTCGAGCGCCGGAAGAACTGTGAGTTAACCATCTCCTTTGAGCGGGCTGCCACGGCTAGGTTCCTGCTAACATGGTGAAGCACCTGACGAGCGGCACTGGATCGTCCCATTCGGGCGTAACAAGGAATTCGTCGGCCGTGAAGCGATTCTCCAGGACCTCCTGGGGAGGATCCCTCCTAGTGTAGATGAAGGTGACTGCCAGCGGACTGCAATCGAAGGCCTAGGTGGGGTCGGAAAGACGCAGATCGCACTCGAGGCCGCTTTTCGTGTCGGCGACGCGTATCCGGACTGCTCAGTTTTTTGGGTCCCCGCTGTGGATGCCACCAGTTTTGAGAACGCATACCGCGCTATCGGCCAGCAGCTCAAGGTACCCGGGATCGACGAGGAGAAGGCAGATTCCAAGGCACTTGTCAAGACAGTTTTGAGTTGTGAAAGCTCGGGCAGCTGGCTTTTGGTCGTTGACAACGCTGATGATATAAAGCTCTTTGGTGACACAGACCTCGCCGACTATCTTCCATTCAGCCGGAAAGGATCTATTCTGTTTACAACGCGGAATCACGAAGTTGCGGTAGAGCTAGTCGAGTCTGAGCGTCGCATCATCCCAGTTGAAGAAATGAGCAGAGACGAAGCCCTTGAGCTGTTGCAGAAAGGGTTGAAGGGGAATCAGATAGGCGATGTGGCAAGCACTGATGCGCTGCTGGGATTTCTTTGCAATCTCCCCCTAGCAATACGGCAGGCCTCTGCTTATATGGGCAAGAAGCAGATTTCGACTACACAATACCTTGAGCTATGCAACTCCAGTGACGAGGAAACGATCGAGCTGTTAAGCCGGGACTTTGAGGACCGACATCGATATAAGGACATCCAAAACCCTGTCGCCACAACTTGGCTGATTTCGTTCCAGCACATCTCAGAGCACGACCCGCTGGCAGCAGACTACCTCAGGTTTATGTGCTTCCTAGCTGGGAAGAATATTCCGCAATCTGTGCTGCCGCCGTCCGGGAGGCTAAAGACTATCGATGCACTTGGGACCCTAAAGGCATACGCATTCATCTCCCAACACAAGGAGTCCGATTCTTACGACATCCATCCGCTAGTTCAATTATCGATGCTATGTTGGTTAGCTCAAAGTGGAGAGCAGGGGGAATGGGCCGCCAAAGTACTACAACGGCTTGCAGACGTGTTTCCTGTTCCAAAACACAAAAACAGAGAAGAATGGATAGGGTATCTTCCGCATACACAGCACGCTCTTGAGTTGCGGAAGGGTACAGAAGACGGGGACGCACTGACTGGTCTTCTATCTAGGGTAGGTAATAGTTTTCACCAGTTAGGAAAATATAAAGATGCGGAACGGATGCATCGGCAGGCATTGGGGTTGAGGGAAAAGGTATTGGGCAAGGAGCATCCATCTACACTTACCAGCATGAACAACCTTGCGAGTGTACTTAACAGCCAGGGGAAGTACAAAGAGGCCGAGCGGATACACCGGCAGGCATTGGGGTTGAGGGAAAAGGTATTGGGCAAGGAGCA